ATCTCTTCCAGTCCAGGATGACCAAGATACTTGCATATAACATTCCCCGTCTTTCATATCAAAGTTATTGGAACAGACACTGCCCCAGACATTCTGATTGTAGACCTCAACCCTTCCTTCATTCCTTCCCTTACCACCAACCAGTCTCATCATCATACCTTTAAAGAAATCACAATTAATAAAGTGCCGCATTAATATGATTTCAGTACTTGGACAATGTCTTTCATTGATATGCTGCAAGTCTCTAGCTGTTAGCCGAGTCCTTTGTCCAATTCTTCTCACATTTATACCTGGAGTTAGTATAGTCATTGAAGGCTGAGATGGACTCCTTTCACAAGCCCGTGGACTATAGTGCATAACAGAATAGTAGTCATATGGTATTCCATATGTCCTTGTACGTCTTGTTCTTCGGAATTGTAACCGACCTATTGCAGGATAAAAAATGAACAAGTATGTATTTTAAAAGCTATCTTTGCAATTATAACTAATTTCCTTACATGTGTTTTTGTTGACTCTTACAAATCTGTTCCTGTCTTTTCTGTTATGTTCATGATGGCGTCCCATTGCATGCATTATCTCATGGGCTGGTACCATTGGACGTCCAGATCCAGAGCATCTCTCATTCAAGAAAACCCTTCTTGCTCCTGCAAGTGGCCTTCCTAAAAGCCTCACAAAACATCTGTTGGTGCAAGAAAATGTAGTATAAATCAATATAATATGTAATTTGCAACTAACTTGCTTCTGTGTCTTTTGAATAACATGTGCCTCCTCCACCTTCTCCTTTTTATCTTTTGAAATCTAACACAAGTTCCTGACTCAATTGCTCTTATTGAGGCATAAAGGTTTGTACGTAGAATGCCCTCTATAATAATGTATATACTTGATATAGTCAGAATACAATTCATTTTATGTACTTAAGTTTTTGTGAATCCTGTATTTTATATTTTTGCTCCACTTTTTTCTTCTTATCCATGCTTCAGTTTTAGCAAGTCCATCCCATCCACTCTTCTTGTAAATAGCAGCTTCAGTTTTACTGAGGAGTATATCACCATCAACTATAACACCTTCTTTCTCAGCAGGTTCTATAAGACAAAGAAACAATGAATGATTATTGCACAATTTTTTGTTACCTAAGTATGTATCATCATCGTCATCTTCATCAACAAAGGTTTCAAACTCTGCATCTTCTTCATCTTCTGTTTTCATTTTCTCCTCAGTTATCTCATTTTCCAAGTTTTCGATATTTTCTGTGAGATCTTCGAAGTTTTCTCTGTTTTCCTGCTCTGTGATGAAGCCATCATGATCATCAGGAGGTACAAGAGGCTGGAGCATTCCATTGTCACTAGCAAATTCTGCAAAGAAAAGGTTTAGATGATTGCATTATGAGTCTTACCAGTGTCTGCTTGGGAAAGTGTAAGAAATGGGAGACACAAAAGAAGAACAACCAATTTCATGGTTACTTTGCTTCTGGTAGGACTAATGCCTCCAGAAAAATATCTGACAATCTTACCTACTTCCAGAACACCTTATATACACTGCAATGCATGTGACTGCTGCACCTACAAATTAACTGAAGGCATATACAGTACAGGAAGGAAGAAAGTGGGTAGTCAGAGGGAAGCATGGGCAATGTTTATAATCTGAAACCCTGCAGGCAGAGGTATGGTTACTACAAATGAATCCTAAGTTTTTATTATTACCATTAATAGCATTAACAAATAAAATGAGCAATTTCATTAGATGACGTAGAAAGTAATGTAATGTCTGGTGTGGAGTTTCTAATCCAATTACTGTAGAATGAAATCAGAACTGATAATTCAATTTTTACTTGCCTTAAATTTTGTCATCAAGCAGAATGCTTAAAGCAATTTAGCCTCTCACATCAAACAAACAATACTAAAATGGAACTGATGGGAAAGAACGGATAATAATACTTTCAATGTAGGCTTCTAATTTAATAAAACATAAAACCCAGAAGCCCTTTTGTGTACTGGAGTTATATAATTTCAGTCATGCAGTTAGTAACACTGTGTACATGGCTGTACTTGCCAGGGAGGGAAAATGAAAGAACAATTCTGCTGATCTAATCAAGACAAAACAAGCTTTACTTGCTTTGTTATTCCATAATATATTCTATACATGATGGACAACAAATATATTGTCTATATATTGATGGAATGATTGGAGTCACATGACAATTATGATTAAAATGATCTACAATCAATACTCAATTTACAAAGTAATATAAAAAAAAGTGTTAACTAGTCACTAAAATGATATTCTTTTATTGGAAAGTGATCACTACAAAAAAATCTAAGAACAACTCTTTGTCAGCTACAAATCTAATCTCAAACTATCTACACTAATTATTAAACATTTAAGTCTTTAAATTAAAAAAAAGCA